CTATTTGTATATTTTCTCATAACTCGAGAACCGTTAAAGATTGGAATAAAACTTTCTATAACTTATTCAGTATGTTATTTGCATTTATCTTTAGAGTAATATCATTACTCTAAGGTTTGCTCTTAACTAACTCAAAAATTAAGTAATTTCGTTACTTTTCTCGAAAATCCGAGAACATCTAAAGGTACAAGATGAAATTTTTATTTCCAACCGACTTCAGAAGCTCTTCTAGCTTTCTAAATAATTAAAAAGTATTAAAACTTTTCTAAAACGAAAATAAATTGCTTTCAAAAAGTTCAAAAGACCTAAAAAACATAAAATTATTTTGTCTCAATCTTTCTCTATGCATCTACTATCCTATATAATAGTCCAACTATATTAGAAGTCGGCACAGAAAAGAAAAATTAAGTGAGAAAAACTATGTAGCTGTAGAAAAATAAATAATAAAAAAAGATATGATTATTGACTAAATCAGTCAGGTCTTTGCGCCAACTTCTAATATCGTTCGAATATTAGGATAAAACATTAGGATGTAGTTAGATAGGAATATTTCTCTCTTTTGAGTCAAAATTATATTTCATATTTTTTAAAGCTCTTGAGGCTTTTAAAGGCGGTTTATTTTTTTTTTTTTAATGAGTACGGCGATTATTTTATTTATTCGTATGTCTACCGAAGAAACAGCATCACTCGTCGCCGTGCAATTTGTCATGGAGTACACGTCGGCAAGTGGCCGTGGTGTACAAAACTACGGAAATGGAATACTTTAACACGTCAAAGATTTTCCATTAGAGAGACTCAGCCGGCACTGACATCGCTCAATATTTACCGTCAGTGGTGCCCGGTAATTCTATTTGTTTCAATTTATTCGGCCGTCGGCGTGTTTAGCGAACGGAAATTTCGCGATATGTTTTACAAACGCGCCGAGTTACTCAGTGTTTATATACACGCGTCACTCCTCAAATATCCTCGTAAAATTCAGCCGGTGAAGTTGCCGCTCCTCGGCGGCGACGGCGGCGCGCCGCGATATGTCCTACGTCTTCGTCACATCGCGGCTGTAAAATTCATCCCCCAGGAGGGAAAGCCATTTTCCTTAAAGCATAGAGACCTCACGCTGTTGCTATTGCGACGAATTACAGCGCGCGCGAGCGCATGTACCTGCGTAACCAATTATATTAACGTCACACGAAAGTGACGTCGGAAATGTAGCACGCGGCCCCAAAGTGTATCATCCTGTCCACGAAGTCGCTCGCGTCGCTCCTCATCGTGAAGACAAACATCTGTCGCCGTTTCGTTAACGAGTCATTTTTCCCGTGGGTCTCGAAAGAGAGAGAGAGAGAGAGAGAGAGAGAGAGAGAGAGAGAGAGAGAGAGAGAGAGAGAGAGAAAAGAGGAGGAAGCGGGAGAGAAAGAGAAACAGGACCGACAGTCTTCTCTATCACGCGAGATGCGTTGCAACAGCGAAAACGTCGGAGCATTTTTGGAGATGCGCGCGAGAAGATCGCGAAACCATTTTTGCTCGTGTCTGTCACCGCGAGAATGTCAGATAAATCGATCAGCGAGTTTCATAAGACACGTTTCTCCCCGCCTTCCATTTGGCCTCATAAAATTCACATAACCGAGTTACATTAGACGATACAGCCACCGCCAGCCGCGAATTTAAATTCAATACGCGGAGGTTCTTTTCGCGCGAGCGCGCGCTCGTGCCAACTTTTCTCGTAAGTCAGTTTCTTTGTATCGTTCAGCGGGACGCGCAAAGTATCATATTGAATCTCTCTCTTTATCTCGAAGAGAGCGCGTCTCCCCCGCATCGCAATTATATAATGGCCATGTGACGCGTTATAGCGCATAATATTCCAGCTTTATTTTCCTCAAACCCGAGCAGAGACTGCAGCCGTATCGTGGAGGAAAAGAAAATAGAACGTCTCGCTCTCGGACGACTCGCATTTTCGCATGCTTGAAGCATACTAAAGATACAAAAAGAATAATGAAAATGTCAAGATACTATATAGATATGAGCACCGTGTGATTACATCGACAAATACTTCTCTTCGATAAATTCCTCCATTCGCGTCGGATTTTTCGAGTAAATATTAAAGAAACATCCTATGACAAATGTTGCAATAATAAACCGTTGCACAACGTGGAAGAGAGCTTATTCAAAGGACAGACAGGACAACAGGACAGCACTATGTGCTGTTTGCAATGTCCATTAATTGATATCGAAGTATCGATTCCACAAGTAGAGTCCCCCATCACGTCCCGAAACTATCGCGGTGATCGAGTTACGCGCGGAATGTTACGGCGAGATAAAAAAAATGTGCAAATTCGTTCAAAGATAAGTGCTAAAAGTAACAGGGATTCAATTTCCAATATTAAATCCCGCCATGGCGGTGATTGTCCCCCTTCCTCGCGACCGCAGCGAGAAAAATATAGTCGATAAAATTTCCATCACGCAGCTTACCAATTTCCTGTATTGCCCTCGCATTGTCGCCATTCGGGAAATTCCCGGATCTTACCGCGTGGGATGTGATCGTTGTTGCGTTTCTTTTATGGGACTGCATAGAACATACCGCGTTTACGCGACTCGTCGTGCGTCGCGGTGTTCACATAGAAAAAAACTAGAGCATTCATTTAAAACTAATATATTCAAATTAACAAACATTGTTTCATATGTAAAATTGAAAACTGATATGTAAATTACGGTATTGATGCAAGTAACTTGTCTTGGTCGTTTAACGCTATGTAAACACATTTAAAGATCTACGTGTCAGAAATAAAGATATTTTTAAAACAAGAATATTCTTTGTTTTCTGTGTTTTATTATAGAAATAGCGTGCGCGCGCGCACGCAGAAAACGGCGAATTATGAAATCCATATCAATTATGAGCGCGCGCGATTTGTATATACACGCATGTATAACAAATCAAACGTTGAAGTTCATGATTGATATTCGACGTTAAATGGCAACGTGATATGCAGTAAAACGCAACATACGTGCCGCTTTTCGGTGAGAATAATAAAGTAGTGTTTTTACGCCGCGGGATTATCAGTCCCGTGGACTCGTCATAAAAATATTATAGCACTTGCATGCGGGAGATATTTGGAAAAATAGCGCACTATTTTACACGGGACAAGCCGCGGCCCCAGCAATTTCGCCATATCGTTTACCGAGGCCGAGATATACGAGCCAAAATAAAACTCGCCGCGAAACTATTTCACATGCGACAGGTGTTAATTCCGCGCTGATTACTTTTACACCGTAAAGCGAATAAGTGCTATCGACTCGGTTCGTTACAATCTGCGAGATACACACAGCGCGACGGGGTGCCCATTAACGAACTATTTCCATTACATAAGTTAATTTAGTATGACTGTCACGTGTGCCAACAGTGATTTGACGTGGCCGAGCAGCGAAATACGATTTGCGCGTGGCTCGACTTAGTCTGCTGGTGTATAAATATCGTCTCACGCGACTTTTGGCGTGCTTGACAACATCAGGACGACGAACCTTCCCACGTAGAAATTTAAAATGGGAGAATTAAAAAGGATCTAAACAGTTTTTCCCTACTTTTATCAAGGTTCTACAGGTCCACTAGGTCCTACACAGAAATGTGTAATAACATTCTTACAAATTAGTGCTTAGACTTGTAAACCTGATTAGATCCTATCTTAATATGGCTAACTAAACTCTGACTCAAATAATGAATAGAGATCTTATATTTTGATACGTTTTATTTTATTTATTTTTACTTTGATATATATTCACTTAAGATATAATAAATTAAATTTTTTTTTTAACAATGCTTATCACAATTTTTTTTACAACTTTTGCTGCAATTTTTATTACAATATTTATAATTTTTTTATTATATATAATACTATTATTATTATCAAAGAATATCAAACATCTTCCTCTCTCTTTTTCTTCAACTAATTTGTTTATTCATATTTTTTTATGTAAAATCACGAAAAACTTTGCAATATACTAAAATTTGAACTATTTAAAAAATAGAGTAAAATACTCATCAAAATACTTACGTTATCAATCATTAACTGTTAACAAATAATCGTTTTCACACTGAAACCGTTTCAGAAATTGGACAACTTGCCCCTCACCAAGCACTATCGGTACAAACCTCGTTTGGGCCATCTACGTCAGCATCAATTCATGACCTATTCGCGAAATTCTATTCAAAATTTGCCTATCTAACTATATCTGGGTTCCATGAAGACGTGCCTATTTTGGTATATCTCTGACTACTAACTACATTACTTTTTAGAGTCCGCCCTGATTAATTTTTATCCGGATTCCCTCAAGTATCGAAAAACGCATCGGAAACGCGCATCGGATCACGAGATTGCCTCGTACATTCCACCAGCGACTCGCCGGTTTGTCATTTTTAAGCGGTCTACGAGGTGGAAAAATGAAAACTAAAAAAAAATAGAGAGGAAGAAAAATCCGCTGGTACTTAAGCATTCGCGCTCGGTGCACGATGGTTTCTGTTATGAGATAGCTGTATGGACGCTCCATAACGCCAAACTTTCTCCACAAAGGCCCGTTTTTTTCCATGAATATATAACGCGACATAAAATATCCCGCGTGTTCGTGGCGCGCGGCGTAGTAAAAGCCGCGGGATATTTTTGCGAAACTACTGCGACTCTTCCCGATATACGGCATTTCCGTGGGAAGCGATGGAGCGATTTTCACGCGATATTTCGCGATCGAGAGCGGCGCATCTAAGACGGAAACTAGAACACGAATACAATTACAATCGAGATCTTTCCGCGCGCTTCTCTCTTTGTCTCTTTCTCTCTCTCTCTCTCTCCCCTTCTCTTTATTTCTTTCTCCAAAAATACGCTGAACACTTTGAGCGGTTTAACACAACCGACGCCATCACTATCACCGCTCAGCAAGCGCTGAAAAACTCAAAGAGGAGCGGAAACACCCTCGAACGAAATCGCAACCTATTGATGCGCAACCCTATGTCTTGGTTGTTTCAGTGACGGGGCTAGAGCCAGACTTCGTTTACCCGCTGGAGAACGTAACGATCCCTCAGGGTCGAGACGCTACCTTCACCTGCGTGGTGAGCAACCTCGGTGGATACCGGGTGAGTCCTTCCTCCTCCGCGAGCGGAGATCACTCTGGCAGCGGCAAGGCCCGGGTAACTATTTTACCATTAACCTGTGTCCGCCTGTAATGGACTCTACTACCTTATCTACTACTACCTACTACTACTACTACTAACTCTACTAACTCTACTACTACCACTACTACTACTACTACTACTGCACTACCTATATGCGCGCGTGCCTGCACCTTACAGCACTGCATTTAACTGCACTACCGCCAGCTATGAAAAAAAAGAACAATATATATATATGTATATATACGTATATATACATATACCACAACCGCCGCAGCAACCACTATCACCAAGCATCTCTCCGTATATGACATCCATTTTCATCTATCAGCCGGTGTAGAGGTGCCGCCCGACGACGACGCGACAACCGAACTTTCGTAGTCTCTTCACGTTTCTACCTACTTCTCGTTCTCTTCGCTCACCTCGTCGGGGAAATGCCGACAAGCTCGCCCCGCCGAATGGGAAGACTCTTCGAGCGAAGTTGCCCGCGAAATGGCTAATGATGTCTCGCGCGCGTCGGAAGAATGCGGCGTATTCTTATCGTTATCGTTGCAGTCGCGAGTCCATGGCATCCCTTCCTGTAGTCGTCGCTGAACTCGAGCGTAACGCCGTGACAACGGCTGGTGCGTGTCGTATCGCGAATCGCCGTGATTTATCGCAAAAATGACGTTAATACAGCACGATTACCGCTGACGATGAACGTACGTTCGAGTCTCTCTCTCGCGTGTTTCATAAAGCCAGCCACATCCCATATTGGGTGTCCTCCCGTATTGGACGTCAGCGATTCGAGCGAAATCGCGGAACAGCGCGGAGAACGCGAAATAGATTTATCGCGAACGATGTATCGTGATCGGAATATTAGCGCGGCGCAAGGAGGGTGGAATTTATTCGGATCGATCCCCCTCGGTCCACCCCTTTGTCCTTTCTCTGAAAAGAATTCGAATCGCGAGAGCTTGAATAGATGCAAAAAAAAACTCGATCCATCGTTGCAGCTATTGTTTTTTTTCCGACAATGGCTTCCGGGCACATTGCCGGCCCTATTTCCATGGGATGGTACGTTCCAGAAGACTACGTACGGCACACTGACACGTTATAGTTCCTTCGATTTCTCGCCGCAGACGCTCGACAATGCCGCAAACACGGCGCGTTGACTCGGTAAAACGCGCGTTAGGATATTTACCGCGCCGGGCGAATTTACGAAAAAAATCCACAATCTTGACGCGATTAAGTGAACGGTCGAACGGGAAGGAGCTTCGGTAATAAGCTGCAGTTTCGTTTCCGCGAAAGGAACACTTACATCTGTTGCTTTGTCACGATTGATAGCGACCTGATGTCGATCACCCAAAAAAATACAATCTCATTCTTAAGGGAGAGGAACCCCATAGAGGACTGAAAATTAATGGTATTTTAGGAATCTTTTAAAAGAAAGAAAATAATGCACATAAATGAAATTGGTTTTATTTATACGAAAGTATATATTTTATTGTGTATGTGGAAAAAAAATGAATCTGATTTTTATGCTTTTCAGAATTGACCCAAGCGGGCCTCTAAAAATAGAAGGGTGGGCTGGTTGACACAATTCCTGCAAAACAATTGATTTGTACTGAAAAAATCAAAATAATTCTTAAAATATAGATCGCTCTCTTCAGTCTTATCATAGGGAATTTTAAATTTCGAAAAATTAAAAGAATTATTAAACATTAAAAAAAATGTCACATTTTATCTCTTTTTTTAGCCTACTTTTTAACGTATAAAAAATTAAATTTTGAATTTAAAGAAAAACTACGATGAGACAATAGGTGTTTATTTTACAAGTATTTTGAATTTTTCTGAACCCCGATAAGATCAAAATTATTCAAAATATGCTGTCAACCAGGTTGAAAAATGTGGTTTTGATAAAAATGCAATAAAAAACAGCAAAAAGCATAAAAATAGGGATATCAGACTCATTTTTTTCCACATACACAATAAAACATATACTTTCGTATAAATAAAACAAAATTTCATTTATGTGCATTGTTTTCTTTTAAAAAATTCCTAAAATACTATTAATCTCTACAGGCCTCTACAGTGTTCTTCTCCCTTAACAGAACTCCCTTAATGCATTGACCTCAAGATAAGATTCTTCTAAAATCAAAAGGAGAATATCCTAATACTCCCCCAAACAGAGCTTAAATTGCAAGGTGCAACTTTCTAAGATCATATCTTCATATTCTGAGCGGAAGCTTTTAGCGGAAGAATATTCCTCTTCCAAACAGACTATTAATGGGAACTGTATTATACTTTATTCTAACTCTTTTCCTTTTGAATCAAGAATATATCCATATAACATTGGATATTTCCTAAATATATATATATATATATATATATATATATATATATATATGCTTCATAATGTGCAAATAATATCCTGTATATATACTGTATATACATTTCATATATATATATATATATATAGAAAGAGTTTTAGGGGGAAATGTACATTACGACACATAGTATGAATGTACATATTTTTTATTGTATTTTTATTAAATTATATACATCATATAGTATATGATGGTCATGCACATACACACGCTGAATGTATCTTGTAATAGATCCACGTAAAACACATACCTAAATATGTTACGAGCCACGTGTATCCATGAAATATAGAATCGATATCATGTGAGGTATATATGTCACTCTGCATATATAGTATGTGTTATAATGTACATCCGTATGACAACATTCAATAAAAGGATGGATAGCCGCGCACGGATGGATAGGATTTCCCACATAATGTATGTTAAATGTTCGGTGTATGCACACAGGTGTACAAACAATGTGCATTACTAACTCATGAATATTATAATATATGTATATTCATTTTGTTAGTTTTGGATACTTACATACACATATATGTGTATGTGTGTGTTACGTATATTAGAAGGACATACATAATTTGTACAAATAATATACATTATGTATGTATACACATGTACATGCATGGGACATTTTATGTACATTATTTCGGTAATATTTGCACGTACATTTGTTATGCACTGCACATACAGTGCATTACACAGATGTACACACATATAGTATGTCCAACACCTACAAACGTAAATACATAGAGAGTACTTTGTATATTTAAATGCTTTGTGGGTGTTTACTTGAAGCATAATCCACTCTCACGAAGGGCGTAACAAATGAGGCTTGCACTACAGATAAAGTTAGAAATGCTTCTAACTTTAAGAATATTGTGCTTTAGAATACCTTTCTCTTAGTCTTAGAAGAATCTTCTTGAGGCGAATGTACGAGGGGATTCCCTTAAGAATGAGATCATATTTTTTGGGTGGCGTTGCGCGCGCGATGCGCACACAGTCCGTGCCTTGCACTTTCCGCTAAATAGCGAATCCCGGCGATGAAAGGAAAGCTGATCAAAGCCGATGCGTTGTGCGATATACTACCGCTACGTGCAGCGAAATTGATTTCGCGCGAGTACATATCGTCTCGATGCGGCGTATTAAGCGCTTTAACGGCTCCACTTGTTGAACCGATGACTTCCCGATAGTCCGAGGCTACACAGCTCTCTCTCTCTCTCTCTCTCCACCCACGTCGTGGAGGAGAGAGAGAGCTCTCGTCGCGAAAAGAAATTCGGCGACGCACGCGCGCGCGGCCTCACGAGCCTGCCTTGTAGGTTTTAATTAAACTTAGCACTGTCGGAGTTTATAACTTGTTGGAAGATGCGATTACCCTTCCGGCCATGCGCTCGCCCGCGTTTCAACTTTTTTTCTTACAGCACTGCCCGGACGATTCTCCGCGTCCGGTAGTTTACGCTCTTTTCTAATAAAGATCATCGCGTTGACCGTGTCCTTTGTTTCATTCCTCCTTTGTTTTCCGCGCTCTCTCGCATTATCAAGCATATGGAGTTCACTATGAAATCGAACGCGAAATTCTACTTCAACCGACCATTTTCCAAGCTGGCATCGCTCCGGTCAATGTAGAGAAAAATTCAAGTTGAAAATAGAACGGTTATTTGCCTATTTCGCGCAACGAGTCAGTCTTTTCTTTATTTTTATTTATTTATATATATTGCGTGACCCATCATAATCAAATTAAAAGAAAGTCACGGCCATATTCAATGGAAAATATGTTGTGACCCGTTATATTCTTTCTCGTTTCTCATTTCTGTTTTACCGTAATATACAGGAGTAAAAAGTTATATTTTATTGTGTTAGAAATAAACGAAAGCTTCCGTTCTATTTTGTTGCGGAATTATATAAATTTAGATGCTTTATAATCTTCTTGATTATTGAAAAATGCATCATATTTAAAACCGTTCGAACTACAGTAATACTTACAAGTCAGTCATGCTTTTTTATTATACATACACATGTAAAATACATTCTGTTAAAAATGATAAACTTCGCGAAACGAGATATCCGGAGAATTTATAGCGCACGTGATTAAATAGAATTCGCGTCAACTGCACACAAGTGTCGCGAACATAATTACGCGAACACAATTAGAAGAAGCGTCTGAACGAAGAGACATGCGCGCACTATTCCAAGCAAAAAATTTAAAGTCATTGCCCTTTCGTCTCAGCAAACACGGCTCCCTCCATTAATACCGAAGCGGTCTGTATTTCGGAGAGTTCGAAAAGTGGAACAATTTCAGTATTGTTAAACGCCTGGCTGCATCGACTACCTTCAAACTCCCGCAAATTAAAAAAAGAAAAAAACACGAGGAAATATGACGGCCCATGGAATTTTGTTTATTGATCGCGTAGTTAACGCAACGAAAACAAAAAAGAATAGGCGAAAGGAAGAAAGAGAATGCGTTCGCCCGTATCCAGTGTTTTCATCATCATTGCGCGCGGCTGTGCACGTATTAAAGTAGTTGTGTCGCTAAATGCCGTATTTTCAGCGGTGCGTCGAGGGTGCCACTCGATTCGAGGGTGAATTTACTATTTATCAAACAGAATTACGTTTCCATGCTTTTATTTCATCGTCCAAATATCACACTGCTAATTT